TAGAAATACTTATACAAAAATTCAATATGATTCGGTTACACTTTGAAAAATCTTTCTTTAGGAAATGATATTTTTTCCCCTTTTTATTTCAAAACCTTTTCTTACAATAAATAAAATTGACTCATATAACAAAATAATTAATTTCAGAAAAAATACAGTGCTTTTTAAACTAAGCTTATCAGAAAGTAAGTATAATAATAAATAAATAATTTTGCTTTCAATTAGAACTAAGCATTGTTTTTATTCAAGTGGATTATACCTTTCTCAATATCTTATTTTTTTACAAAATAGTAACGATTTGATACATAATTTTACTTTCTAAGATAAAAATAAGTAGCATACGAGTATACTGTTGATTTTATTTTCGCTCGAAATAGAAGCACTTTGTATTACAGTAAGTATTAATCAATAATAAAGGAAGACTATTCTTGATCTATTTATGGAAACCATAAAAATAATTAGAGACTCCTAATACATATTTTTTTATTTATCAGAAAACCCGAAAAAAGTTCTAGTTAGGGAGCAGTAAACTAAATTAAACCTAAAAATTCTAAAAGAAACTAAAATAATAAATAAAAATACAAATAAAAATAGATGCTTTGAAAAAAAAACTAAGCACAATTTTAAAGAAATAACTATCAATAATCATTTCAAAGAACAAGTTATTTAGTTTTCAATTTTTAAATTCTATCACATCTGAGATTTTCTTCTGTGAATTCATCCACGACACTTTTATTCTTATGTTTTTTTAAGCAGAAAAGAATATAATTGAAATTATTTATTTGGCTTATTCCGTCTTATTCTTTTCAATACCCGATCGTCAATGCGTCTAAATGCCACTACTATCTTCTTGTATTTGGAATTAATTCAATTATGCATAGAAGATGTTCCGCGATCACACTGAAAATCAAAAACATATGACTATTAGAGCTCGTAAATAATAAATATTTAAGCGAAAAGAAACAAAAATGCTATCAAAATATGTTAAATCCCAGTGAGAAAAACATAATCTAATAAAACATAATAAAAACATAAACTAATATCATTACGTAATGAAAACTTTGAATTGCTTTTTTAATAATCGCCTATCATCTTCTCTTTGTTTCTTCCGGTAATCAAACAAGTTTCGATAGTTACGAATTCTTCTTTCTCAGTAATGATGCGTTACATTTTGACTGTGTATTTGTTTTTTTCAGTAAAAAATAATTTGTAAACCCTTAATGTAATTCCCTTTCTTACTTCAATTTTTTCATAGGGATTCTAAAAATATACATTAAGATTACTCATTATGAGTCACCTTGCATGCATTTAGTGGTAACTTAAAAGTGACTATATATGGAAGAAATTTTTATTTGTAGTATTTTATTTAGTGCATTAGAAAAACGATGCTTTTCCAAACCAAGGTATAGTTTTTCCACAAAAGAACAGAAAACAATGCTTGGCTTATTACCAAAAGCTGCATCAAGAGATGAGACGTAACAGTTAAAATATTAAGTGTCATGTCACAGCTTATACAATGAGAGATATCTGCTACGAAGCTCTATTTCAAAGCTACACATCACAGCCTCATAAAATTTCGTTAGGTGATTCTTCTTTATCCTGAAGAGCTATCAAGTTTAAAGAGGTATATCAGTAACAGTTGTAGCATTTGTCAGATCAAACTATAAAACAGGTCCAATATCAGCTTTCTCTGTGGCTAAAATGCATTTTAGAAACAATTTTTTTTTCAGACACTTTTACTCACCGAAACTTGCAAATGATGCGCTGTTTCCGATGTATTTTTTCACGCTAAATAAACTGAGACCAATCCCGAGACGCTCGGAATGATAATTTAGATATTATAAGGATTTTATTACAAAAAGTGCAATTTTGTACTTGTACTTATTCACGTATTTGACTTTGCTATCGGAACAAGTAAGGTAGTGTTTCTTTAATATTTCTTTTTACGCTTAATTGAGTGAGACTATTCACGAGTCAATTAGAATGGATAGTTTAAAAGTTGCGAATATTTTCATGCATGAAAAGTAATGTATTTAACTTGTACTTATGTGTACCCTTTTTACACTACTGGTCATTAAAATTGCTGCACCAGGAAGGCGACACGCCACGAACATGAAATTTGCAGGACGGATAAAGCATGTTGTGGTCAGTAAGTGATTAGTTTATCAGTCCATTCATGCAAAGCAGGCTGCGGTAGCGACACCTACGTGTATAAAAGGAGAGATTTGACTGTAAGTTTCTCATACAGAAATATGAATTTGAGCGTTGTTCTTGGGTAAAAAAGTTTTTGCTATGCCTCGTGTAAGAAGGAGAAATGTCGATCAGCACGTGTCTGAGTTTGATCGAGGTCGAATTCTGGCCTACCGGGATTGCGGTTTAGCATACCGAAGTATTGCTACTCGCATTGGTCGAGATCCCATGACTGTTAGCGGAATATGGTTCATGACGGTCATATGGAACGCCGTGCAGGATCTCAGCGGCCTCCATCACTAACAGCCAAGAAAACAGACTTGTTATCCACATGGCCTTAAGGGATTGAACATCTGCGTCACGAACCCTGAGTCAACAAATGGGGTCGTTTTAGAGACAGCAAGTGTCTGCACGAACAGTTCGATGACGTATGCAGGAGCATGGACTGTCAGCACCCTTGACACTGCATCACACCCTTGACGCTGCATCACAAGCATGAGATCCTCCAATTGTGTGATCAATGACGAACCTGGGTACAGGAATGGTATGGCATCGTCTTTTCAGACGAATCCAGGTTCTGTATACAGCATCATGATGGCCGCATTGGTGTTTGGAGACATGGTGGAGAACGCCCATAGGCAGCTTGCATTCGACATCATCATTCTGGCCCATCACCTGGAGTAATGGTATGGGGGTGTATTGGAAACTGGTCTCTATCAACTCCTGTTCGAATTAGGCACTTTGAACAGCAGCCGTTACATTTCTGATGTGTTAGGGCCAGTTGCTCTGCCTTATTTTCGAGACCTCCAAAAAGCTACGATTCAGCAGGCAATGTACGACAGTATGTTGCTCGCACTGTCCTGGCCTTCCTTGACACTGAACATGTTCACCTGTTGCCCTGGAGCACATTCTCCTGATCTCTCACCAATTGAAAATGTCTGGTCAATGGCTGCCGAACGACTGGCATGCCACCACTCGTCAGTCACTACAGTCGATGAATTGTGGCAAAATGAAGCTGCATGGAATGTTGTACCCGTCCTTGCTATCCAATCTCTTGATGTGCAGGAGAATAACTGCTGTTATTGCAGCCAGGGGAGGCTGCTCTGAGTACTGATTACTCAGAATCTATACATCGAAATATCCTGAAAATTTAGTCACTTGTTCTTCCAACTATAATATATGTGCCCAAAAAATATCATTCTGTTATTTGTATTCTTTCCTGGTGTGGCAATTTTAATGACCAGTAGTGTACTTTTCGGATGCAATTTTTTATGCTAAATTGAATTAAATAAATTTGAGTCATTAGTATAAATAGTTTTAAAGTTATAATGGGTTTCGTCATAATACTTGCAATTCAAAAGTAGTACTTTTTACGCAAAAGAGAAACCAATGCACTTTTAAATATCACCCATTTTTGATTCATGTCTGGTCTTATTTGATCAAACAAACAAAAAGTACTTGGGAAGCAATACTTCACTTAACTATAAAGCAGTGTAAGATGCGTAAATAAATGCTGGAACAAAATTGTACTTTTACTCAAAAACCCTCACAGCGTCAACCTAATTTTTAATGTATCACGATCCCCTCGTATTTGCCATTGAACTGTTTATTTATTGTCTTAATCTGGCACTCTCTTAAAAAAATTTCTGATTATTCAAATATTTATTTCTATTTTCTTGCTTGTCTCTCCCGTTTTGTTATTCTTTCTTAAAATAGATTTACTTAACTATCTTAAAATTCTATTTTACTATCTTTCTTAAAATTTGTATTGGTAAATAAGCACAAGCTACAAACTAGACGTTCTTTGAGAAATAAGTCTTTTAGCAACTGTTCTGTAGTTATTAATACAAGATATTAAACCTAAGTAGTCCCATAAATAAACTGTGTGTAACTGATAATGTACTTTAATATATTTTTGTTAAAATCGTTTCAGGCAATCAAATTTTAATAAAATGAATGCAAAATAAGTATTTAAGGTAACAAAAGAGCATTGGATCTACTGCGTAACCCAAGTTTATTTGCCACATTTTTACCAAATCTAAACTAGTGTCTTTAAAATTATAATACTAAATTTAATTAACGTATTCTTGTAATATTTTAAAAATGTAATTTAGTCAGAATATTAATACTTAAAGTTTCATTAAATAATTCATGCTATCTTTATAATCATTTACGGAAGCATTCGTATAAACTAGTAAATTACCAGAAAACATCACTGAAATTTGCAAACCTTTATTTATCTATCAGTGTATATTTCATAAAAAATTTTGTACTCATTTACAAAATTAAACGAAATCAGAATGAATCCACTGTTAAAAGCGATGAACCAGATCATTTATTTGAAAACGACAATAAATTGTAAGCGATGAACAAGATCATTTATTTGAAAACGACAATAAATTGAAAGCGATGAACCAGATCATTTATTTGAAAACAACAATAAATTGAAAACGATGAACTAGATCATTTATTTGAAAACGATAATAAATTAAAAACAGATGGGTGATCTAGTTACGCCACTGATGTTTTTTCTGTTTTGATCTTCGGTATGATGTTCTTTTTTGTTAGCACTGTTATGTTTAAAATGATTATAAGTTGTTAAGTTTTTTAACGTTGGTATTGGCATTTTTTTTTTAATTAGAGTTGTGTTTTAATCAGTTCTAGATCGTGTTTCAACATCCACCGCTTACCTTCACAATATTTGGATAATATTTCTATTTATTTAATAAATTGGATCAAATATTTGACATATTAAATTTAATGTTATACATATTGACGAATATATGTTTATATGTTGTTGTTTTTTATAGATGAGGTTGATATATTGAGCTATGTTCATTCGTTTTCCTTCTCGGCGATTAATAGGATGTTTCATTGGCGTGAATCTCATTGTAGCAGTGTCCGTCATGTTGGTATCTTGGTATAATTCTCCTCCGGAATACGTCTTTAAGCATCCATATTTCCTCTTCGACATTGATATTGAAGAACCACGTTCTCTAGACCAAAAGTGTGTTTTACCCCGATTGCACCCGTTTCACCCTTCCATCTGGCTCTACCTCAAATTCCAAAAGAATATATTTTGCAAAAGTAGGCAGGCTGAATTTACTTACATAGACAGTCGAGGATATCTTCTTTTTAACCATACCGAAGTTCAGGATGTTGGATATGAAATAGGAAGTTCATTGTTTTGCCATTGGTCTCCAGTTCTGAGAAGTACTGAAGACAGTGACGAACAAATATCATTTGGTAAAAAGGTGAGCAACATGTTATACCTTCTCAAATATTAGGGAAAATAAAGTTTAAATCAAAGGGTTTAAAACAATGAAAATTTAAGTAAATAAAAGCAAATATTCATGAGGTAGCAGTTTATTTAGTTTTATATTTTCTTCTATAAATGTACAATTCAACCCAAAAGTAAATTTTCATAAATTAAATTAGTGTTACCATTGTAAATAAAAATAAGCATTTGTTTGCTGGAAACCACTAAAATAACTCGGAATTTAAACCATTTTTTGTATTAAATGAAAATGACATCCGCTAGTCATCCCTCCAACTAAAAAAAAAACTTCATAACTTTTAATCTATCAATGCTATATGTTTTTTTTTTCCAAAATAAAAGAATTTTTTTAACTAGACGAGATAAATGCAGGCTAATTATTTATTTTATGAAATATTTATAAATAAATGCTTAATTTTTAAAATTAACAGATTATAGTTTAATACTATCTTTTTTTATTGCATTGTTGTTATATACACATATTTAGCAAGGCTAAATTATTCAATGCACAGCTTGGATTGAAAGTTTTTCCATGATTTCCATTTCATTATGATCTAACCTTTACTGGCAATGGCATTAATAAATACTTATCATCAACTACTTTTTCAGGTTCGCCTTCCAGAAGAAGGCTGCAAACTTTCATTTGATGTTGTACGAGTTCAGTGTACAAATTACGCTGGTTTTTTAGTTTACGAGAAGATCCAAGCGCACATCCCAGTGGCCAAAACACGTACATCCTCCTCGCCCAAGCATCCCATTAATGTCCTCATCTTCGGTCTTGATTCATTGTCTAGGTTAGCATTCATCAGACATCTGCCAAGCACTTACCGTTACCTGACAGAAGAGCTCAACATGACGGTGTTGAGAGGAATGAACAAGGTTGGAGATAACACTTTTCCTAATTTGATACCACTATTGACAGGCAAGTATATTTATCAAATTTAAAAATACTGATATATTTATTATTTATAATTTTCAGTTAGATGAAACTAAAATTCGAAATATAATCATTACTGTAGTGGATATCATTGCCATATACGAAAAATTTAGAAAATTGTGCTACTGAGCGAAATTGGGGATTTGATAATCTATTCAAGTTTGATAATTTTTAAATTGAAATTTCTGTAGCCAAGTAAATTGTGCAATTTTTCGTAACATTCTTGAGATCATTTTAAACTCGGAACAAAATTTTAAAATAACGTCTTTATATTTATAATTGGATTTCTAACAAATGCAGTGTTTGTTTGATCTTTCTCCGTATTATATATAATATCTCATCAAACTGTAACAGCCAGTAGAATAATTATCTAGCTTATTTAGTACCACAGAGAAATATATAAAAAAAACTTCCAAGCTAATGTTAGAGCATATAAAAAAAACGACGTGTTTTTCTTATGGATGCGTGCCAAAATGGCAACCGTCTGCCTCGAACGTTTTTAGCGCCACGCAACGGCAAAAAAACTTAACTATCAGTTAGATTAGTGAATTGATAAGTTTATCGTTAATTATCGTTTTCTTTTATTATTTTTAATTGAATTTATTAAGTTCTTTATATTGGTTTAGTCATTTGTTTTACTTTAGTTCTATGAAATGCTTAAATGTTAATTCACTAAGGATGTCGTTTGTTAATGAAGACAATAATACATTTTGTAAAGTAAATTGCGATCGAAATGAGCTATAGGTGAAGTAGAGCAGAACTCTCTACCTATGGCAACACATGCTTTCATTATTATCGTGTAAAACTCAACTTTAAAACAATAAATGACAAAGAATTGTGATTAATTCATTCATGCTACAGATATAATCGTAAAGAAGTCAATGAAAATATGACAGCAACGGTACATAATATACCGTAGTGGGCAAACTTTTCATATCACTGAATGAATTATTTCCATTAAGTGCTGCTAGAAGCGCTGTAGGCAGTTTGACCAGGAGAAACTTCAAAAAACGCGTCTTGATGACATCAGAGAGTAGTATGGTGCATTTTCAGTGCTAAAAAAATTAAAACTTTTGAGTTAATGATTAAAATGATTCCGCAGAGTTTTAGTTCAGATGAGAAATTTGACATGAGTAAATAAGAGAACTACACAAAATTAGTGATAATTATTGATAATACTTCATCCGGCTTGATGTTTCGGTTGTTCGATTCCTTAATAAATTAATAATTTATATTAATCAGCAAGGTGAGAGAGAGAGAGAAATTTGAATATTTTAACTACACTCGTGGCACTTTAGTGTTTCTTATATTATTGTTAAAGAAGTAGACAACGAACTAGCTCAAAATCTGCATGAACAATGAAGTTATTGAGAATAGATGATAATAAATCAAACTAAATTTCAGAGAGTTTCAGGTTTTAATTGTAATATTTTACTACATTTAGTGCTTTTCCTGATCACCATAATCATCAGATCAAGTGCTCTGGCGACTTTGGTGAATGCACTGAACAGATCGAAACTATTCTTTTTTTTGTATACCGTTTTTTTTAATATTTAGTACTTTTCTTCTTAAATCCTTTATATTTTAACAGGGCGTAAAGCTTATGGTGATGGTCTTGGCAGCACTACTAATTATTTCGATGACTGGCCACTAATTTGGAAGAACTACTCTGATGCTGGTTTTGGAACTTTGTGGGCTGAGGATTTAATAAAATTTGGCCTCTTTAATTACTTGGCGAAAGGATTTATTCACCCTCCAACCGATTATTACATGCGACCCTACTGGTTAGCGATGGAAAATAGTAACCTCATGACGCATAGTTCTTATATGTGCTATGGATCATTTCCAAAATATTTTGCACAGGTGAGATGTTAAAACTTTGTTTAACTATGCTTTAATTAAAAGGTTCTGAAAATTTATTTCCTATGCGTTTTTTTGAAAATAAAATATTGAATCAAAAAAATTAACTATCTAAGATGTATATGTGTATTAATATACTTTAACAAAGCATGTATAAAATATTCTCTAACCAAAATATTGGACAGCTGCAAAGGTAATTTCCGTTCCCCTCTATTGATCTCGTTGTGTGAAGATAATTTTCTAAACTCTGTAGAAGTTAAGCCCACCACCTAAATAAGTTAGAAACATTTTTCAATTCATCAAAATTAAAAATTTACCATCATTATTATTATTGTTGTCGTTATTATTATGTAGATAATTATTAGTAATATTATAAAGATAACTATTTGTAGTATTATGATTTTAATTGCAGAATTAGAACTTAATTGCATTCTTAGACTTTATCGCTGTAGAGTACGGTTTATTTTTGTCCGATACAAAATTGGGTTAAATAAAAATAATTAATTGCATGGTGCTTTGTAATCAGCTCCCTTAAAACAGATTTTTAGAATTTTTAGAAATGCAGTGGTAAAATATTCATAATTAGGGTAAGTAATTAAAATATTAAGAACGAAAAACAAAAATTTCTTTTTAAACCTGGCGAATCATAAACGAGAATGGCAAGATTGGAAATATCAAAGCCTGTTTGACTGAGGAGAAAACTGAGAAGAAAGGAAAGGCGACTATTTCCCTTACAAATTTCATAGGGCAATCAAACTAGTTTTGATATTTTCTTCTCCCACCATCCTTGATAATTATTCATCAGATTTTGATATCATTTTCGTTTTTCTCTCTCCTGAATATTCATTAGTGACCTCTGACACGCATTCTTTTCTACTTCAGTTTTTAACCATACATTAAAGGTGATAGTCCTTCAATGGACTGATCAGAAAGACGGTTACCAGTAGAACACCACCGAAGTCAAACATCACTGGCTAAGCCAATTGATATTAAACTTTTAATGATATTTTTAAAGTCAAATTACAAAATGTCTTCATATTCGAGCAACAATTTCTAATATGTTTTTTTATTTCAGTTAGATTACCTTAGAAGATTTATTGTAACTTACGAAAATGCAAAAAGGCCGTACTTTGCATTTTCATTTTTGGCAGAATTGACTCATGACTACACCACCCGAATAGCATCTGCTGATATTTATTTTGAGAGGTTTTTTAAATCACTGAAAGCAGATGGATATCTCGACAACACTGCCATGATAGTGATGTCTGATCACGGTCATAGGTTTGATTCCATCAGGACGACACAGGTATTAAATCTTTACACAGTTATTAATTAATATTAATAAATATTTTTCATTAATAATTTATTAATATTAATAAATTATTCATAAATTTTTTTCATTTGTTTAACTCCTTATTTGTTTGTAAACACCTTATTTAGTATCGAACTAGAATATATTATATACGTGGTGGTTTCAATTAAATTTACCTTTGCACCAACACAGAGTCCAGTCCGATTGATGGAAGTAGATGAGAAAAAAAAATTTCCAATAACATATTTAAATTGTCGATATAAATTGTAGAATAATGGTCGATTTAAACTATCGAATTGAAACAATTAAAAATGCTCAAAATAGATACACAAAATCTGAATGAGGAAAAGACATACTTTGTGTTACATATAAATAAAGGAAAAGAACGTAAATAAAGCATAAATAAAAAATTTTAAAAAATGAGCATATTATAACTTTCTTCAGTGTCTCGTGAAACAGCATAAATAAAGCAGAAATAAGGATTAAAAAATGGACGTACTATAGTTTCAAGACACTGAGGAAGGTTCCTGTTTATAAAACTGAGACAATAATATGTCACTTTCTTTACTTTTATTTGTGCTTTATTCATGTTGTTCTGCTTTACAGAAACGAAAAACCTTAAATATTTATAGCATATGTTCAATGTGCATTCCGTTTTCGTCACGCACATGTCTCAGCATCTTCAAAACGTGTTATAGCATGTTCATCCAAATACCACAAAAAGCTTGCTTTTAAAAACTAATTATTAATTTAATTTAATTAAAATTTCGTGCTTAAAAATTTACGAAATCTAATGTTTTCTTAATTACTCGGTACTGATCTATATAATATACGTATCGTAAGAATTAAGAATAAGTGTCTGAAAAACAATAAGAATAATTAGTAAAATACAGATTCAAAATTATAACTTCTGCAAGCAAAATTTTCTATGAAAGTGACCAGGACGAACAATAAAATTACTTTATAAAGGAAGAACTGTAGAGTTTTTTTTTCATTCAAAGGCCGTTTATAATGTTCATTAACACTAAAGATGAAATTTTGACGTAAGAAAAATTAATGTCCAACATACAAAAATAATAGAATGCTTTGTGTCTATCAATTCCGGTTTTTGTGCCATTAAACCTTCGTTAAATAGGCTGTGGTAGTAAATCTTAACAACTCAAGCGTAATATGATTATGGCGCCAAATGGAGGAGCTCATCAGCTCATTGAAATTTATTGGAATCAATTCACTCACCCATTAAAACAGAATGCAGATAGTTGATTTAATACCTTATGTATGATATATCTGTACTTATGTATATTATTATTATTCTGATATGCATTATTTATTGTTGCTTATAGATAGTTCATTTAATTTTAGGTCGGCCATACAGAAGAATTGTTGCCATTTTTTTCTGTTTACATTCCACATCGTTTGTCTTCACTTCACCCTACAGCTAAAAGAGGCCTTGAACTAAATAGTGGACGGCTTGTCACTCCTTTCGACACCCATGCCACCTTGATGGATCTTTTTCATCTTGCAGTACACGATCGGCCACTGGGTCAAAATAATTCCGTCTCGGAAGGCCGTGGACAAACTCTTTTTCGAGAAGTGCCAGCTAATAGAACATGCCAGGACGCGTCCATTCCTCTTGAATATTGTTCTTGCCAAATAGACACTGTCATTTCTTTGTTGGACTCAAGGGTTCAAGTAGCCGCCGAAGCTACTGTATCGTCAATCAATGAAATGATAAAGGGGAGTGACCAAGGGCACCTGTGTGCCAAAAGGACGTTGCATTCCATAAAATCAGCACACCTTGTGAATATAACTGAGGAGAGGGTCGAACCCGGTGATAATATAAGAGTGATAATAGAAACTGAACCAAATGGTGTGTTTGAAGCTTTGATATCAGTGCAGAAGGATGCGGCATCAGTTTTGGGAGAAGTGAGCCGGATAAATTCATATAGATTCCAATCAGATTGCATTAAGCATGTTATACTTCGTAAGTTTTGTTATTGTATACATCATTTGGGAGAAAAAACATCCACAGTCGCCTTCAACTAATGCAATATTTTTTTAATCATTACTGTTTCGTTCGTAAAATTCATCTGTTTTGTTTGTTTCAAATTCAAACATATATTTGAAGTGTCTTAATACATACTGATGTTATATTTTGAGTAAATGTTTTTAAACATTGTAAATATTTTTTTAATTTATTGGAAAACAAAGAAATAGTGCAGGGGCCTGAGTGCAACTCGACAAGACACATTTAATCTTTGGAAGAAATATTTTATGCTATGCTAAATCAATTCAGGAATTTTTTTCAATTTATTTCTTAAGTGTTACTAAGTTCGCTCCTTCTTCGTGAATAACTTTATTCTTGATATACATTAACTGCTGAAACAAATAGCGTATAGTGAGAGGTCAAGCTTTGAAAAAGCTTCGAGAACTTGTCATCACATTAAAATCACAGTTTTTTCTCCAAAAATGAATTCGGGAATTTGCTTTTAATTTGAGACATTTTTAAAAGAAATTTAACAAGCTGTTTAGAAGCAAATATTATTTATCCACATACTAAAATTGTAGATCATTAATAGAGAAGTTACATTTTATTGCATTTATTACCATTATTTCAGGTATACAATTCAAATGGAAGTTCAAAAGTCAAAAGAGTTAACTTTGAGGAAGTTCAAACCACAAAATAGACTTTGTTAAAGTTTGAACCACGTTAATTCTATGCGTCATGAGAAGTTATGTAGCAATATTTTACCATTCTGACAGCTATATTTTTATCACAATTTATTAAAATGTTAAATGTTTTTTAGCTTAAATTGAAACATAAAACCTAAATCGCAACGTATTTTTTAAAAACGCGCACTTAAATAGGAACTCTTATACAGAATGATAACAAGAAGTGATTTTTTTCTATTTCCTTCTTTTACCTAAGTTATTCCACGTCTGATTGCTAATTAAAATGTTAACTTAACAAACATCAAAAGTTATGCTAAATACAATAACTATTTTATAATATTATATGAAAGAACCCGCAAAATATACGAAAATAATGGAAATTCAAAGAAGTTTATATTGCATGAAATATTTGTATAATAAATCACTTATTACGGAAAGAAATTTATGTTATAAGCTTCTGACAGATATTTCTTACGCATGTGTACAATATTAAAGATCAATTCGAATGTTTTACTCTCGTGGACAATACAATATAAAATATCCTAAATAATAATTTTTTTTTAATTTCAATCTTTAAAGAAAACACACGTATAACTAAGCTAAGAGAGGTCCTCATTCTTTGGATTCATCAATTATTACGTTGCCATTTATTTCAGGTTGCACCGTCATGATACAAAAACAGCTTAGATTGTTCTTTTTCCTGCGGAAAGAGAAATTTCAAAAAAATAAACGGAACTAACTACTTTGCATTATACTTTAATAGGGACAAAAGAAAACTTCAAAAGAAAAATAAACTGATATAAAGCAAGGAACACAAATATCACATACCGCATCTATAACATAACACTTCGTGGTAATAATAGTATATAGTTTTTAAAAATGTTCGGTATCTTTTTGCATGAGTGCGAACTCATAAACAGCTTAGCAATAAATATAATTTTTTTTACACTGTAATAAAACTATTTATTAGTTGAAATTACTGAATCTTGCAAAATACTTACTATGAAAATCTTTATAGAATTTCATATGTCTCAGAGATCGATAATATACAACATCTATTTTCTAAAACAAATTTAAATGCTATTTAGAAGCGGTGGTATACGTTAACAACACGGATATAAATATTGCATACAAATGTATTTATTTCGAAATTTCATATGAATATTAACTAAATTATTTTTTTACTGATTAAACTTAGAAAGTATTATTTTTTACTATTATTTTTTACTATTATTACAAAATACCATTATTTTTCGCTCATTATCTGCAGAACTACAGTAAAGCTCAACTGAATATGTTATTCATATTTGATCATTTCAAATTAAATCCTGTTTATAAAAAAAAACTTTAAAATATTTAAGAATAGGACAATTTAAAAATGTTTAAGTATCTATCATTATTAGTTTGCAAAACTATTTCGTATCAAAAGTTATACTTAATAAAATAAATTAATGCATTATTTATCTTCCCTTTCTTCGATTTCATTTTTTTACTTTTAACAAATTTCATATTTCAAACAACTTTTCCTTTTTAATATTATTTCATTTAATTTGAAATGTGCTGTTTGCCTACATTGTCGTCATGATTAATATAAACCTGTACTAGTCATTTTTGAAAATCAAATTATAAAATAATATACGTTTGTCATTGTTTACCTTATATTCCCATTCAAATTCAGTAGCCATTTTTATAACAGTAGTTACACACTCTAAAAAATTTTCAGTGAACTAAATTTGATATTTACTGTTTACATTGGAAAAGAGTAATATTTTCTTGTAAAATTTTTACTTTTTTGGAACAAATGGTATTGTTGATGTTATTGTAAAATCTGTATTTAACGGATAACCATATCTTGCTCAAATTGATAAATTATATAACCTATCAGCAATCAACATCGATTGGAGCTGTTTATAAATCTGAAACATTTCACAGTTTTTTTTGTATGTTTATTTGAGCATTAAATATTTGATTTCAGTTTTGATTTAATATTTAGATAATTCTCGTATAATTTTTTCAGTAAATTATGCGTAACTCATTTAGTCGGGGCCAAAAATGAATGGAGAAAGACAATGCCTATCATTCTGATTATAATTTTTAATCATAATAAAAACTCACATTAAAATCATAAAATAAAATTTTTCTGCTTGGTTAAAATTCCAAGAAATAACTCCGACTGTAAATTAGGTAAATAAGTGTTTTAATGCATAACAACAAGCAAACACTCGTCAAGATTTGGCAATGGGAGATTTCTTTTAACTAAAATTAAACTATTTGGAATTTATAAGTAAGTTTATTTAACTAATTAATAAATATTAACTCACTGCCACATTTTGATAGTTTTTTTGACCAAATTTTCTAAAAAGAAAACAATTAGAAGCACATTAAAAACGAGAATTATCTTTAAAATTTTGGCACACTTAAAAGAAAATGTAATAACTAAGTTGTATTGGTTATACTATAAGCAACATAACGCAGCTATAGTCTTATTTTAGATGTTATTGCACATCAAAGAAGAATTTTGTTACAATATAAGCTTTTTTTCGTAAATCCTATGAATTCCTTGAATGTGTGCATTTGTAAATGCTATAATATTTCTTATAGTTCTTGTATTTAAAAATTTATAAATGTTTACAAATTTGTTTCATTAATATTTATACAAGAATTAAGATGTTTAAACGTTGTACAAATATTGAATGTTACAGCAAATATGCTTTGTTACATTTCTGTAAAACCTTATAAATGTATGTTAATAAAACTCTACGCCAATAATAATGAATTATACTTATTTAGAAGAACAATTTCGTTTCAAAACGACCCATTTAAACTTACCATTTGCACGCCTAATATAAATACGTTTAATTGATTTCATATTAGAATTTATTAGAAAATTTTCTCTGATTTTCTTCAAAAACTAAAATGTTAGGGAAAATTTTAAAAAAATTGTAATAGATGAATAGATTACTTTCATAGCAGTTCAGTCCAAATTCTTTACTGTATAGTGGATGTAGCTTCTTTGTAGAATTTAATTAGAATTTTTGGCCGTTTGTGATCTGAATTTTATTATAAAGGAATATTTATCCCAAAAAGATAAACAAACTCATTTGAAAAAAAATTCTTTATTATTTAGAGAATATAAGTCCATCAAAGGGATCAAGAGAATCACTCTCTCTTAACATCAAGGATTTCTGATGTTAAGAGAATGATAAAAATTAAACGGTTGAGATCGATTTCTTGGAGATCGGATTTCTTCTTTGGCGATCTTGGAGGAACGACTTCTTGAAGCTCGGATTGAGAGGCTAAAGCCCCTCAGTCCGATCGCCAAGAAATTGAAATTAAAGCTAATTGTTCCCAACAGACGGTTAAAAGCATGGGAAGAGATCCATGGTTGGCGAATTATCAAAAGATAACATAGCCAAAAATAAAGCAACACACCATAATCAATATTAGATTTGAAAATAACTTGGCGAAAATGAGTCGCCAAGAAGACAGTGGGAATTAGTATAACCATGAAACTAAAACATTTTGTGGTACGAAAATAAAGAATAAATAGTAATAAGTAGATTTTGTTTTTAGTCTCGATAGTGAGTTTAACATTTGTATTACGATGAAAAGTCAGCCGCTCCATTGATTGTTAAGAACAGAATAAAATATTTATATTAGCTCTAGATAAAATGTAATAAAAATTAAATAATTTGTTTAATTTAATTAAAATTCGAATAAGAATGATTAAAGAAAATAATTTTAGGAAATTAAAGAAATTTTAAAAGATAGGAAATATGTAATGTAAATGTGGCACCACAATTACTTTTTAGTATCGTTCGGGAAAACTAAAAATAATATATTTATAAAAAAAAAAATTGTAATCCATAGCATGGATTTTATCAGCATATGCATAGCATGGATTGAGTCACTTAGCATTGATTTTATTGGAGAGGATAATTCCTTTCCTTGAGTAACTTTGGCTCTAAAGATCAGATTTTCACTTAGTAATGCTTATCTTAATAATTCAAAGGGCTCATCTTAATAATTCATCAACTATGCTATTTATTCAGTTCATACTATTAAGTTATGAAACCAGACGAAAAAGTACTTTCTCAGAATCGACATACATTTTTAAATTCTTGGATGTCAAAAGGGCGCAATCTCGAAAATTTGGTCCCCCAATAGTTTACTCAAAAGAGAGGTCAAAAGTTTGAGCTTCTTAATGTTAATTTCATTCTTTGTGTGCCTTGTCATATCAGCGAATCAAAAACTTCCTACACACTATTATAATACTCATATTTTCAAAGACAATATCTTGAAAAGAATTAGTTTTAATAATTATTCGTATTTTTATTTCATGATAATTAAAACAGCTTTGAGTTGTAAATTTTTAAAACTATGTAATTTTAAATGACTAAGAACAAAATTTGCGGAAATCAGTAAAATAGTTTCTGAGTTATAAAATTTCGAAAAATTCACATTTTTAAATTTTTATTTCCTGAAACTCGACTGATTATGACAAAATTTTATAATTTTCGTTTAAAAATCACTAAGGAAAAAAAGTTTTGGGAATGCTTTCATGATATTTTAGAAGTTCGTTTTATATAAAGAAAGATTTTATTTTAAATCGGCTTTTTCATACATTAAAAAATAAAACACTTATCCATTAGACAAAATGATGAATGAAGCTTTTCTATTAGCTTATACTATTAATTATTCCAACAGAAATATAAAGTTATTTTTAATTTTAAGAAAATAATAAAAATTTTAAAAAATATTAAAAAAAAGAACCGCAACTTTTTTTTAGTTTTGCACGAAAAAGTAAGAAATGAAATATTCATTGTAATTTATAAATATCGAATTGATATGGTCTCATTTAATTTATTCATTCTTCATAAATTTTATCCTAAAATATGTTGCTGATGCAAAAATGCTCTTCATTTATTTATTTTTTTCCTTTATATCTCATCTTTTGTAAATTTTCTTTTGTAAAACCGGGTGTGAGTTCAAATACATTTGCATTGCAGATAACTAAAGAAAAAAACTTATAAAAATCTGTACATCTACTCTGTTAATTAAAGAGAAGATAGGAACTAACGATAAAGGATTTTAGTATTGGAAAAGCAATCAAATCAGGTAAATTATTAATATTATATTACATTAGGAAAAAGATGATAAGAAGTTATATCGTAACAGTTATTACTTTCTTGGAATTTGGTGGAAATTTTAATTGAGTATTAGTCAGAATTGGAAGCTTTTGGGAAAGTCCGGAGTTAGAGTTGGATTCAAACATATTAACTGTCGACTCCACTGCTATAATTAACACTACGAAATCATGCACTGAAAAACATATGCCAAGACTAATTAGTGAAGCTAAAATTTTTACACTCTTTTTATTTATTGCCCGTACCGATTACGTAATTAGATTAAGCAAAACACGTTTTCAATAGTACCCATCAAAATAAAAATTAACTGTAATCAGTATCATTTAGCATGATGCTCTGCTCGAGGTCATCTCATTACAGCCAAAATTTATTACAAGCTATTTTCTGCAGTACTTATCTCTTTCGGTGAACTGCGAAAATATAGTATCACAATACAGTAATACATGCATTAAATTCGTATATTTCGTACGAATTAAAAACCACACTGATTACCAAAATTAATTAAGCATTATCGGCATCAATAATGATATTTAGTGTATGGTTCCCTTTAATGAATCTGTACCTTTTCTTGATCAATTTTAATTCTTAGTTCATAACTTATTTCTATTTATTTCATTTACCGTTGATTTAAAATTATTCAACTTTATGGAAACGCGTTTTGAAAACATAATTATAAATGAAATAAACAAGTGGTTTAAGATGACTTTAGGAATACCAATTCACACACATAGCACCGATCCAAGTGACATTTGTATTGATCACCGAGATTGTAAAAAATAATTAAGCACTTAAGAACGTACAGTAAAATCTAAAATAGTTTAATTTTATTTATAACAATGAATAATGTTAAACCAATGTGAAAAAATCATTTTTAAATATCTCTCCTGCACAGACTATTTTAAATTTTTAAACGATTTCTAGAATAGGGGGCTAAAATTTGCTCTTTATAGTCGATGTCCACATTTTAGAAAAATGGTCCTAGAGCTATAGAGGCTGTCTTGAAAAATGGTCCTAGAGCTATAGAGGCTTTAAAATAACATTCCAACATCGCAGACAGGCAAAAATATTGAGTAAACACTAACAAAAATTGGACGGGTAGTAGTTAAAACATTTTGACCAACAACTTTAGTACTAAAAGCTACACTGAACGCTTTGTTCTAAAAGTCATCTTCTAGAGAAGACAAAATTGCAGAAAGAGAGAATCGATCGATAGAAGAAATGTGTCAACTTCAGAAAGTCAACTAATGGGATAAAGTTCTGGTAATCCTAGGGGAGTGTTTGGCACAAGGGGTCGTTTTTATAATTCTTTTTGGTCATGCAATTGCCTCATGTTAACATCAAAATACATATAACTCGGCATTTACATTTTCCCACTACAGAAGTTTTACAGATGAATTATGTCAAAAATATGTGCATTATGAGTACTAATATGGCCTGGATTTTGATGATGCGTTCATTTTTTTTCTCTCATTAAAGGCAATATTTAAAAATTTCAGGATATCTTTAAAGTTTTTGAATATTTTTTAATATAATCTAGAGTTGTTTCTTTAACATTTTAGGATTTTTTTAGGTATTGTGTCATTTTTCATACAAATTTTTTTTGAATATTTTATGCCTTCTATATTAGAACTTTCAGTAACTCTTGAAATCTTCTTCCTTTAAGAAACCTTTTTCTCCTTTTCGACATTTGCTTTAAACTTCAATAAAAATAAATTCAATAAAGATATGATTTTCAAATTGAAATTTTTATTTAATTATAATGGAATCTTTTTTTTTAATTTATTTTTAAAAAAAATTTTATGTTATTATGGGCATTTAATACTATATTTAACAGCATTTCGTGGAATTTTTTAGGTCATCTGAAACCATGTGACAACAGATTTTGTTTGCAATGAAAATTTAAACTTAAAAATTGCCATTAGATTCATAAAAAAGCGTTAAATTGTTTGATCAAAACAAGAAAAACAATTCTAAATGTTAGAGGTAGTCTCCCATAAAAAAAATATATATTTTTTTTTTAAATCTTAATAATTTTCTACATAAATAATTTTATGTAGACAACCGAAATATTAATAACTTATTTTTAATTGCTTGAATATAAATATCATTATTACTGGTTAAAAAAAAATCCTAACTCTCAGAATCCCGGTGATCCTTCCATGGAACCCTAAGGTTCCACAAAAACAACTTTCGGGAACACATTATATCACTTTAATGGGTAACGTCGAATGATTATAACATTAAAAGTTAATATGTTCAAAATAACCGGTCATAAAGAATTTGATAATATGCCATGTTTATTTTCTATTTTTTTTTTTCATTGAGAGTGTTTTAAAAATAATTAATGTGAAAGTGTTTTTTTGTTTCACACAAAATAAATTATATCGGAAATCACTTTTTCTGGATACTTAGCTTCGGACCCGGAAGTTCAAGCTCTCCACAACATTTATGGTGGTAGTAAAACAACATTAAAATATAAGTGTTTTTGCTTTTTTTTTCAGAGAGTGTGATATTTGAGAAGGGTATAACATGATTTATGAAATATTATTTTAAGGGCTATTATTAATAAAATTAATTCACACATTATTTAATATCATGAAACTTACATCGACAAACATTTTACAAATATTTAACGAAGCAATCAATTTTTATGTTAAAAAAGGCAAGGAAAAATGGCATGACCATTCGTCTATTACTATTTGCGGAATAAATATTTTTTTAAATAAAACTTGGCAATGTAATCTAGGCATTCTGCAAAATAATAACACAAAAATAATCCTTCAAAATAAAAGCGCAAAACATTGTTTTTTATTTTCTTAATAAAATATCACAACAAAATTTTACATTACAAGCAGAAAAAATTAAACATTTCTTTTACATTTTTGTTCTGAAAAATATTTTTTATTAACTACATTTATTCATAATTCATAACTTAATCTAACAAATTAATCTCAAGAATTTTTTACAAAATTTAAATTTATGCGTTTTGTAAATAATAAATATATTTTTAATTTTTTTTTCTTCTTCAATAATTGTGAAAGGGCAAAGATTTAGAAATAAAAATTAACTTAAAAACTAAGAGAGTTGAACTAGTTTTGCCAGTTTAACGCTATTTATTTTAAAGAGATACTATTAATGGCGCATTGGTAATTTCTATTTTTGTAAAAAAGTTGCAGAAACTGATTCGATTGTTTCAAAATTTTCTCTTATTTTTTAGGCATATACCAGCTTAGCTGGATCCATGTATCCCATGAAAAATATTCAGAAATCGACCAATAAAACTAAAAATTAAAATAATAATTGTAGAAGTGTGGTCTCTCGCTCTCGTGTCAGCTAAAAATATTATGCTTTAATTTGAAATAAGCATACAAAATAATTTTTTTAAACTGGAATCGCTGTTTTAGAAATATTAAAAAATTTACTGAATGTAATAGCATCCTTACCTTATATCTTCTGTTGAATAATAATGCTTAAAACATGAAGTACTTTATGTAAAACCAGGAGGCCCCATCCCACCAACCCCTGATATTACTTTCGTATTTTCTTTCGGATTGCCTCGCGATTCAAGTTTACTTCACTTGCAGACTGAATATTGATATATTTCTTTATAACTTTGTTCTAGAAACAGCTCTAAATTATTATGTTAGCTGTGTAAACTGTTGTTGTTCTCTTATGCCACTCGACAATATTAACAAGCCTATTTTAAAGAAGAGGTGTGAGCTTCTTCTTGTTTTCCAGTAGCGCCATCTATGGCGAAGAACTCGACTTCTGCTACACACACATACGTCACAGCCCGTTTTACATGGAGGGCACATTCACTCACCATCCATCCGCAGATCGTAAATTTCACCTGAACCAGAGCACGATCAATCTCCGATCCAGTTGCCCCTGAGGAATTGATTTGTTATAGTAACTTGGAGGACTTTGTCACCCCAACATATTTAACGCGCACCACTCACCATTTTGTACATAGGGAATCTTCGGCACAGGGATCGATCTTGCGACCCCTTGGACATGCTCCCAACACCCTACTAACCAAGCCATCCCATTCCAGCTGCGTAAACCAATATGCATACTTGCAACTCGAGAAGAAGCGGAGTGATTATCCCTTCATGTGATTTAAATCAGATTTTTTAATTGGATACTTGTAAGCGATATCACGTTTGTGTGTCAAACCTGATTGGTTTCTGAATCAACAAATGCTACGATTTATTTACGATGGCGTCACTTGCAGGTATCCACCTAAAATAAAAATATAAAACAGTGTGTTTATGTAAATTGCTCGCTTTTAACCTATTACAGCCTTTCGTTGGTGACATAAAAAAAAGCTTTCTGCAATACGCATTAGATATTATAAAATGATTTAAAAGAGCTCGAAATATAGCTTGTGATTTATACAGTCAAATTTAGTAATGAATTATCAAATTAATTCATTAACGGATGAGTATGTTAAATTAATAACCACATGCATTTATTTCTTTTTAAATTTACTTAAAATTATAGATATACGTACCATATTAACGGGATAAAAGATATATATTTCAATAATAGAAAATGTTTTTTCTCTGCAAAAAAAAGTGAATTTTGAAGCTTTGATACTGTACCACAGCCAGAGAGTTGAAAGCCCAATCATTTGGATCGCATGATAAATGAAAATTAATTTTCGAATTCGCAACTGTGCTGGTTGCTTTAATTTATTTAGATTTATTTTAAATGTTGCTGGCAGAAGGTAACATATGCCCTTTATTAAAATCATGCAATTCTCTAAGAAATTAGAACATCATTGACCTCAGTCAAATTTCGGGAGGCTTTCATGATTTCCCTCTTCAAATAACGTAAATAGGTGATATTTTTCCTCTGTAAATCCTTCGCCAAGGAAAGAATGTTCTGATATTTGACTCTGTTTCGCTGTCTTACAAAACATGAACAAAACTACAACGTCAAAAAAAGTTCTCATCAGTTAAATAAATCGAATTTTCAGCGAAATCGATAAAATAAAATTCCTTCTATTACAGTAGGCAACTCGTTTCCAAACAAAATCAAAAATGACATTATAAGATGAACCCAATATTTTGCATATTTATTTTCACATTATTTTAACTCAATAATTTGAAAATTAAGATAAGCACGCAAAAATTTTAAGATTTATGTAACTATTATAGAAATTTTTCAGTCCTGAAAAATAAAATATAAAAAGATTGAAGTTCAACAAATGATGTTCTTGATTTATTTTACAGCGTCGGTTACACGAAGGCAATTTGCTAACTTATATAACCTTCAATGTTAGAAGCAAGATAACTCAACCTTCACACGGATCATTTTTAAGGATAAGAGAGGATCAAAAAGTAGCTTTTTATCCAATTTAAAACATTTTTATATTGAATAGAAATAGGCAATTATAAAGTTCGACGACGAAGATTTTTTCTCAATGGTGACCGCACCCATAATTGAAAAATTTCCAACACCAAAGAAATAAAGAAAACTTAATGGTTTTACAATTTGGTAAAGAAAGATTAATGATGCAAATAGAATTTGCGACCATTTTGTCTTCTTTTAATTTAAGGCTACAATCAGTAGGTATTTGAAAAAAGCAAATTAATATTTTTTCTAGAGCATTATTACGTAAATAAAGTATAAGGTAAGAATATAAAAAGTAAAACATGCAAACAGCAACTGTGATTCAATTTCCATGGACTCATAAAAATAACACTAAAATTTAAAAACTTAACAAATTTTATTTAAATAAAAAAAATAACTACCGCTATGATTGAGTTCTAGTGCCTAAAGATACGATAACGAAATGAAAAGTTATTTAGGATGTCATGTTTCTGTGCACTGTACTTACCAAATTTAAGAGGATGGTACTTTTAAATATTTTATTAGCATATAAAACGTCTACAAAATTTACTGCTATAGACATGCGTTGTTCTGATCGATTATTTTTATTACGTTAATAAGGTGTAGATATGATGGGTTTGAGTATAGCTATTTCCATCTTCTTATAGCTATTGCAATTAGTTAAAACAAAAAAATAAATAAATAATTCAATAAGCAAAGAAGTTAGTAGTTGCACCTGTTGCAAAATTAAATTTAGTATAGCTGCAGATAAATTATAAGTATCAGTTTCAAACTATTGGCTATTGTATAAACGCAGTAAAGCAGCACATTCATATAGATACTTTTAATTTTTTTAAAAACTAATTTAGGGTAAATTTTTATAAGTTTCTGGTTACTCTTCTTAAATTAAGGAACATTCAAATTTAACATTTTTATCATAATAGTACATATTTCATTAATATTAGCTAAAAAAGGGGGATACTCACTAATATTATAAAAAATAATACCTTTAACAAAGGAGAAAAAAAATAACTATTTGAATTGGTAATTTTTTATAATTGGGAAAACAAGTACTACTACTTATATTTTTATTCTCTTTTTAAATAATGCTTATATCTTGTAAACAATAAATTAAATGGTCTTCTAAACCATTGGCATATGATACCTCAAGTATTTCATGTTCCTCTAATGTTTCAACCTATTCACTCAAATGAGGACTAATTCCTGTTAAAAGAACTCCACCATCTTACTGGAACCAAATATCTCCTTACATTTCTAAGTATAGGAAACGTCCCAAAAAATATTCTTTATTCTACTGAACATGTTCAGAAATGATTCGTCACAACTCACTACATAAAAAAGTGACCACTTTCATCAAAATATCTTATTTAAAACACAAATTATAGCTTACATGCATCTTCTTCGTTCAGCAAATCATCAATACTTTTTGCCTAACATCAATAGTTTTTATTGATTCACTTAAAAATTCAGTTTTCATACCTGAACCTGACCCTACATGATCAGAATAGGTTTATACAGTAAATATTATAATTTTAAATACTTCTTAGCATCAAGCTATATTATTATCCAAGGTTTTATTATAAGTGAATAAACTGTTTTGAATCTTTATGATTTTTATAAGATGTTCCATAAACCAGTTTCGGATTTTTCGAAATAACCATAACTTTAGATATTTCTAATTTAATTTAAGGAGATTCTGTTAACATTATAAAGCAATTTATGGTGATCAAAAATGGAAAAATGAACAACACAATATAATATACACTGTTTATTGTTCCTTAAAACAAAGCAATATACAAGTTAAAACAAAAGATGCAGACTATGTCATAGAGGTTGTACTCATGTACTGTAATACTTAGTAATAATATTTACAAAGAAAAAAAAACGTTTTTTGAATAAAGTTACAAAAGTCCTAGACTATAGTGTGACTTTCAGGAGAACTCCTCCAGATATCAGTCTCGCATTGTGGCGGGCACTAAGGTTACGAGGAATAATCACTTCAAATAGGGGTGTGGGGTAAATAGTTTCGTCTTGATAATGACATAGGTGAGTAAACCAATTGACACTTTCATTGCACCCCATCAGAAAAGTGCTCACCATTGTTATTATAGCAGCAGACAGCCCCAGACTTTGAGTCTGGAGGAGTTCTCCTCAAAGCCGTAAAATAAATAGCCTGTTTTAGTAAAAAAATTTCTTAGCTATTCACGAAATTGAAATTCTCTTTCATCAATACTCATCTATGCTAAAAAGTGCAAATTATAATGCCGTGTTTTATACAACAGGAAAGTATTTTAAATCAGATTTCAAAAAATTATCATAGACATAATTTTGAAGAAACAAAAATATTTTTCTTTAATGTTTATTTAAAAAAACAAGTCTGACACAGGTAGTCAATCTTTCTTGTGTTAATTATATGTACAGTAAAATAACCAAATTTATATTAGGGAATTATATTTCACATCTAACTAAACATCACTAGAACAAGCATTTTCAGATGCATGACTTAAACTATGAGTCTCTAAATTCCTCCGTTTCCAAAATCCCTTACTACATATTTCACAAGAAAAGGGTTTTTTACCCTGATGAACAAGAGCATGAATTGTTAAAGCACTGTTTTTTAAAAAACTCTTATTACAAATGGTACAAGTATAAGGCTTTATACCAGTATGGATGCGAGCATGCATATTCAAAGAAGATCTCCTTGCAAAAGTTTTATTGCATATGATACAAGAAAAAGGTTTTTCTCCAGTATGAACAAGATAGTGAGATTTCAAATGAGAGTTTGACAAAAAATTCTTATTACATATGCTACAAGTATGAGCTTTTTCAATATGATGCCTAGAGCTGTGATTAGTCAGACTAACTTTCCAATTAAAACTCTTATTACATATATTACAAGTGTAAGGCTTAACATCTTTGTGTATAGAAACATGATAATCCAAAAGAGATTTTTTTGAATAGCTCTTATCACATAAGTTGCATGAAAAAGATTTTTTATCAACGTGAAGACGTTTGTGAGCAGTTAAAAAACCTTTTAATTTAAAAGTTTTATGACATATGTCACAAACGTGAGGGTTTTCACTAGAATGAGTAAGCACATGACGATTTAGACTATTTTTACGGTAAAATTGTTTATCACACAGGTCACACGAAAAAGGCTTTTCACCTGCGTGAACATTAAGATGGGCAGTTAGACCATTCTTCCAATTAAATGTTTTATTACATACATTACAAGAAAAAGGTTTTTGATCATTGTGAGTAATTCTATGAGAATTTAGATTCCCTTTTGTTGAGAAACTTTTTTTACATATGATACAAGGATAAAGTTTTTCTTTTGTTTGATCAATATTGTTATTAGTCATAGGAGGTTCAAGAGAAACAGTTTTATCACACATAGCACACAGAAATCAACAATAGCAATAAGAAATTATCAATATTAAATAACATACAGTTTTTAATACAAATTATAAAAATAATATTTATATGGAACTAGACAATGGTCTTCAGCATTTCTTTTCATTAAAATAAATGCTAGAATAATGGGGCCAGAAAAAATACACTGAACAGCCTTCAAAAATAATATAAAGATGTTATTACTGTGTTTTGAGTTTTAAAGTAATAACTCTAATCATAAATTATATGTGCAATATCATTAGATACAGTATAATATTTAATGCCTGTTAAAATTTACTTGAATGTCAGTCTCTGATAAACTTAGATATTTCTTGTAGTATGTATTGCTAGGTAATTGCAAAAATATAAAGGTACTTCACATAGACCAAAATGTTAATAAATATGGCAACATAGTTTTATCTATATATATGGCAACACAGTTTTAAGTCCATTCTGTTAAAGTGTTTGAAACAAACCTAAAGAATAAAAAAAAACATAAAAATGAGTCAATTACATACTTATAAATAAATAGCATAAAATAAATTATGAGTATGATAATGAAACTAACTCTAATTTTCCCCAATATATAACTCCAATAAAAAAAAAAGAATCTCAATAATCAACCAAGTAATAGTCTATTTGGCCATTCTCTTTATTATTTTTAAATATTATTTTGCACAGCTGCAAACAAAAACATGAAATACCACATTTTTTGCAAAATTTATTATGGAGAAAATTTTTTGACAATTCAAGGTTTTGAGATAAAGTTATGTTTCTCCCAGTTTCTTTTTTCCTGGCGAATTTTGGTTTTTTAGACTTTTACTGATGCGTACTAACCCTAATTAAGCACCACTGGCTTTAATAACAGTTCAGCCATTTTTTAAGCCCCCTAAGCAGATAAGCACCTATTTTTATCCGAAAGAGAAAGGACAGTAGAAAGGGATACATAAAAAAAATTACTTGCATAAAAAAAAATGCCTTGCAAATTGCAAACATAATTATATTTTTAGGAAAATAAAAAAATTTTATACAAAAAAAAATCTTTTGTTAGAAATATGAGAATTGAAATTTACTTATTTACAAGGGTAAGAAGGACAAAGGGAGAGAGAGTTGCCTGTGGCGGTATTGTGATCCATCGCAGAATAACCGTCAAGTCTTGGCAACTTCTGGACAATGGCTCGCGAGAAACTTTAAAAAAGAAAAAAAAAATTTACAGAAAGAGACCAACTTGAAAGATATAACTGGAACCACCTGCAGGCAAACATGTACATGTTTTTTCTTTCTTTTTTAATTGCAAGTTTAAAATTTATTTGGCACCTTGGCGATTGTAGTTGGCGTGACAGATCGCGATACGGAAATATCCCTGGACAAAGATCAAGATAAATATACTTGAATCATAATTGAATAACCTGTTTTCTGAAGATCTTCTCAACCCCAATTGTTAAAAACATACGTTAAAAACTTGAAATTTTACCTAACTAAATTTAACAAACAACACGGCAAACTCAGAATAAAAATATAAATTGAGTTTTTGAGTTATTTACTTGAACTGTTGCAAGAAAATGCTTGTTTTGAAATTAAGTAAAGGATTTTGAAAAATTCTTATCTATAATTTTCAGTCCAAACAGAATAAAGTGAAACAATTCGGTGAAAAGTGTCTGCTTGAAGCTAAAATCATATCATAATTCTTAATGTTCTAAGGGAAATGAAGGGAATACAAATCATAAAAAACCATAATCAAGACAACAACAAATAGTTAAAATAACATATTTTACTCCCTGAAAGAAATATAAAAACATTATAAGTGTAAACAAAAAAGAGCATTTACCATGGAAATAAAAAGATCATAATAGAAAATGCACTTTTTCTTTAACACAACGGCAAACCAAAGCGAAAATTAATAATTTCAAACAAAAAAAACTCGGATGCATAACTTTAAATTTATGTGATTAATTGTCAATTTCAACGAAACGCTTTTGCATTCTTATTTCTGTTTATGAAGAGTAAAGTTTTTGCTATAAACAATATAAAAATACAAAACTTTACTTCTACTTCAATAACATTAAGCACCTAAATTATATTTAAACAGAACAGAAATAAACAGTTTGAAGCTTTAAAAAACTATCTGGGCACTTATTTTCGTTTTCTGGACCTCCTGTGGATTTTACAAAATCGCGTTTAATAAAAGCGATTTTTTAATTTTGAAAATACTATTTTAATAGAAAAGGAAAATTCAATTAATTTTCTTGTTTTTGTTTAAACAGTCTTGAAGAAGTATGCTGATATCCATATTGGTGATGTGAAAAGTTAGGCAGAGTATTTGAAGTTAGTAAACATCAGGGCAGTATTGAATTTAACTGTGGCAAAAAGGGTTTGTAGTTCGTAAGATAATGACTGATAATTTTTGGTGCCCTCAGGACAGTGGTTTGTGAAAAACTAAAGAAAGAATTGTGAAAGCGACCAACTCCAAGGGTATAATTTATAACCTCAATATTTCTTTTTTTAATTTTTGCAATTTCAAAATCCCTTTATCGCCTTGGTGAGCGTGAACAAGTATCGATTCGTAACGCAATGGGGATATTTCCGTATTGTGATATGTCATGGCAACTATAATCGCCAAGACACCAAATTGATTTTTAAACTAGAAGAAATTTATTTAAATAAAAACGCGTGGAGGTTTGCCCATGGATGGCTACAATTTATACCCTTCGAGTTGGTCCCTTTCTGTCATGTTTTTCTTTAGTTTCTCGCATACTCCTACCAGGAAGTTGTCATGACATAGCAATTATTCTGCCACAGATCACAATACCGAAATATCCCCGGCGCACCAGATTACGATGCGGAAATAATCCCTCATGTTCACAAAGAGCAATGTTAAAAGGTGCTCTGTGTCCAATAGTAGAATTACCTACAATGCTAGTTTCCTCAGTTTTTTTGCAATTTTAACATGTACAATAATACATCTCTATAGGCCTCAAAAATTTCCTGAGTATTTTCCAATCTTTTTATTTTAAAGCAATCAGCTACAATCACCAAGGTGTTAAATGGATTTTAAAGTTGCAATTTTTTTTAAAAAAAAGGAAGTTTTGAATCACTTGAGGGTAACTACAACTTATTACCTTCCTGTTGGTTTCTTTCTGTGATGTTTTTGTTTAGTTTCGTGTGGGCTGCTACCTGTAAGTTACCAAGACTTGGCAGTTATTCTACTGCAGATCACGATACAGAAATCTTTTGAAATATGATGAGAAACTTGCAACTAACTTAATTGTAGATTTAAGTTAGTTGCTAAATTACGATAAAATAGCTGTTTCTGTGTCTATTTAATTTTTATCATTATGCTATTTTTGACAATAACTATCAAAGAGCCACAATGGCTCAGGGATCGAGAACTCGCCTTCCAATGAGATGAACCAGGTTCAAATCCCATCAACTGGACGATACGAATTTACGGTGACCATTTTTTTTTTTTAACCTGAAACCAGGACAACATGAATTTTGACCAGCCACGCCCAAATTTTATAAATTTTTATCAAAAATTCACCCAACAGCCAACCTGTATTACCTAAGTAAATAAAAAACTTTTAGATATCAAAAAATTTTGCATTTATTTAAGCACAAGAAATGTGAAAACTAAAATATAATTTTACAATATAAAATTAAAACATAACATAACATGATAAGCCATACCTAATATAATAACATAATAAAGCATAAGGAGTTATTTAAATTAGTTTTTTTTTATATATATATTTTTCTGAGGAATGAATTGCTTTTAACAAATTTTTGTTTTCCTATATATTTTCATAGAATTCCATACAGGTTGCATTTAAATTATCTTTGACAATCAACAAGGATTTCAAAGTTTCCACTGTCAATTGGGTTTTCTCGCTAGTTCAGATGTTGTTTAATAAAGAAAAAACCCGTTCGGTCAGTGCATTAGTTCCTGGCATACAGAGGCAATACTCTACCAATTTGCCAATATTATTGGACACATCATTTTCTTTAAAGGCTTTAAAAATTTCAATCCACCTATCTGATACCGAAACGCAATTTTGTTTCAAATGCCCAAGTTTCTCGTCTGTCGTGTAGAGCTGAATGAAACAGATTTCATCAAAGAGCTCATCTTCAATTAAATTTATTTCCGGATAATGTTGAATTAAATAGTCACTGCATACTTGAACCATTTGATGCGTAGGTTTCATGTTTAATGTAATCCAATTAAACTTCTCGATTCCGTCAAAATGGCATTCCCATTCTTCCAGATACTGAAAACATGTGCTGTAAAATTCCACCACTTTTTCTTTGAAAATATTCGATTTAACTAAGCCGTCTTTTTCTAGCCCTTTTAAATTTTGCCGAACTTGCAGGGGCAGAAGCACACTTGCTATCCTGTCAGCAATTTTGGTTTTAAGGTCCTTATAAATGATATTTGTTTCCAACATAGAAATATCCTGTCCTTCTATCTTCAAAATTGTGTTATGAAACGTGGATGACACATTATGGAGAAAGGAAAGCTAAGATTTGGTTTCAGGATTCTCAAAATAATTTTTAATAATTGTCGGAGTTTTTTCATTAGACGCAAAATACGATTTTAATGCAGAAAATATTTCCAACACGCGCTCAATAGCTGGTCGTAACACTAACCACCGCATAGCACTGTAACTCAAAAGTTTTTTATATTCTATGTCTACAAAATTCTTTTAATTCACTGACGCGCACAGTATAGATGTAAAAGTAAGAGTAAATCTTGGTAATTAAAGTTTGTATATCAATTGGAAGGCAATCCGCCGGAGTTTGTATAGAATTGTTTAAAATATGCGCTGAGCAACCAATTCCCACATGCTCCCGCCCGTCCAAAGTAGCTTTTAGCTTGGTAAAAATATTTTTCCCGGCTCCTCTTCGCATGCCTCCAAAGTTAGTGTTAGTGTTGTCGGCACAAAACCCTAATATTTTGCTTTCTAAATTATGTTTTTTTAAGACTTCTACAATATATTCGGTAACTATGTCAGACGTTTCTCCTGGCAAATCCTTTACTTCAATAATTTTTACCTGTATTCCATTCTTGTATGAAAAATATCTGACAAGTAAAGGAATAAGTTTAATTTCTTTGTGATTTGAGGCGTATGAATACACTGACATAAAACTTACGTTTCTCAGATCTTCAGCCAATATTTGATTTGCATAAGGGACAAGTCCATCGGTGATTATAGCTTCGCATTTGGTCCTAGAGCATGTGAATTTAGCATCGAAGCATGCCTTAATAAGTTTACAGGTACAGTCCATTGATCGAAAAGATTGATTATGCATAACTGTATGATATGCTCACAAACCTTCAGCTGCAGCTATTTTCTTCTCGGCAGTTTCAAATTCTTTTTTCTTAAAATATGACGTCATACTCGAACTTTGCTGCTGACACTGCTCGCTTGTGTTTAACTGTTTTTATGTGGTTTTCAATGGCGCTTTTTCCACTATTTGCAATAGAAAACGTACTTCTACATTTTTTACAATATACTTCACTAGGATCTATATTTTTACTTTCTTTAATAAATGTATATTTTAATTTTAAATCATCATTAAATACGCACTTTCGTCGTTTTTCCGCCATGATAATAATAAGGTAAGTACATCACAGTTAGTACATCAGACCACCACTGGCTTGTATGACGTCGTGGGGGTTCTGCTCATGCGACACCTGACGATATCACATGGAATTATCAGGGTTGCCAGTTCTAATTTTATTATTCTTATTTTATTACTTTTTTTGTTTTAATGTTTTCTAATCTAAAACCAGTACTTTCCGTGTACTGGTTTTGTTTAATGACTAACCAGGACTTATGCCCTGAAAACCAGTACTGTACTAGTAAAATCAGTACGAATGGTCACCTTATACGAATTCCACATCCGGCTTTCACCGACCACAGTGCTGACATGAAATATCCTCAGTTTTAAATGGAGTTCCTTTTCGTCAGGCTAACGCTGGGAGGTTCTCATGGTTTTCCTCACCATGTAACTCAAATGTGGGCTAGTCCTATCTAAAAATCCTCCACAGATGCAAATTTCTCCCAGTACTCGATCCAGGAGTTCCCTTGTCTGCCGGATTGGGCTCAAAATTACAAGGCTACGTAGTTGAACATTAGTAGTCGTAAACCCAAAAATTGGGTCAGCTGTTCAACTACGGTTATAAAAAAATAAAAATAATAACTATCAAACATACAACTAGCATAAAATTAAGGTAATTTAGATAAATAAGTGTACCAGTTCAATGGAACACGAACCGACAGTACATAATAAGGGAGTCCATATACATGCAGCACAAGTACAATGCATAGGATCACATATCTAGCCATGGGTTGCTGAAAGATTCTCATTCTATATAATTTATCTATCTACCCTTGAAATTTGAACCAGATCTTTACTTATAAAAATAAAGAAACAGAAAATTTTTTTATATGCATATATCGGGGTCTGTTCAGGCCAAATTTACAACCGTTTAGCGGTAGCTTCACAAATTCATCTTTAAGACAAACGGTAGTTTCACAAAATACTTTTTCTTAAAATTTTATGTTTGTATCCCATAAAAAACGATAAATCCATGTTTTTACGATATTTTTATGTTGATTTTTTAATATTTTTAATTTTTGCAAACTATGTCTAAATTTTTACAAAATAAGTACTTCTCAGAAAAACCTAGCCAGACCCTTAATATATAATTACAGATATTAAGCTTTAAAAATTCTGAAATATATTAGAATACAAGAAACTTCTTCCATGCTTATTTGTTCTTCAATAATTGGGCAATATATGCCCCACTGTCAGTTATTCTTTTTGTTAATTCTTTTTGTGTTCATTTTTAAAATTTTTTGTTTTTTACCTAGAAACTCCTTGACAAAATGTGCATGTTTTTTTTTTTTTTCAAATAGTTAACTATAAAATTCTGAACTAATTTCTGAAATCTAAATTAAGCAAGTCTCTTCCAAATGTTACATTGATTCGTTGTCTACAATAAGTCTTCTNAAAAACATCTTTTTACCTCCCAAAAAATGCTACTTTTTTAATTAAGAGCAATTAAAAATCGTGTACTTTCGTTTTCAGTTTAAAAAGGAAGTCACGTGACTTTTAAGAAAGTGACGCCGTTCGAGCCTGACTCGCGTTTGTTTACACTTTTTCTCCTTGGTGATTTAACGCTTGTTTACGTGCCTAGTTGAACGTCGTTTGTTTTTTTAAAAATGTATTTTAAAATCGAAGTGTATTGCTGTTTGATGTCTTCATCAAGTAAATATAAGTACTGTATAGTGCCTATGTGCACTAACACAACTTCCACAGCTCCTGAAAAGATATTTTTTGATGTGCCAAGAAAAGCTGAGATAAGGAAAAGATGGTGCCATCTAATGAAGCGTGATGAGAATAAAAATCCTGAATTTTCTGAAAAATGCCCNGACGTCACACCAATCAGCGGTCGTTTTCGAGTGAGGGCGTTTTCGCTCAAATTAAAATATTAATAATTAAATAAATATTTATTTGTCAGAGTTAAAAATTATATTTTCGTAATCAGGAAATCAATCTTAAGAAGTAATGACTATAATTTGGAAAATTTAAGAGATGCTGCAATTGTCCATTAAGCAAGTCTCTTCCAAATGTTACATTGATTCGTTGTCTACAATAAGTCTTCTAAAGTCTTTTTATTTTCTCTCTCTTTTTTAGATTGTTATCAAAAAGTCTACTGTGAAACTATGAAAGTTGATCAAGAATAATCAAGTTTACATAACTTTACAACTAGTTACATCAACTTATTACTTTTCTCTTAACTATAATTATGAACCTAATCAAACTAATAATTTTAATTTAACTATGAAAAAAAAAATTTTGAATTATAGGAAATTGTTTAGTTAGATATATTAGAAATATATGTTCTGATATAATATAATATTAATATATTACTTTTATTAATATGTGTTACTAAAAAATAACCTAGCTATGCAAGCTAATAAAAATTTATATTCTTGTAGCATGTGCAATAAGAGCTACAAACGAAAATATGATTTGCAAAATCACAGTGTTGTGCACACTAATGACAAGCCTTACGTTTGTAATGTATGCAATCAGAGTTTTGCTCTTAAACAGAATTTAGTTAAGCATTGTCGCATTCATTCAGACAGAAAAACTTTTTTCTGTGAGATATGTAATAGAGGGTATTTAGAAAAACGCAACTTAGCTCTCCATAGTTTAACTCACGCAGAAGAGAAACCCTATCCGTGTAATATGTGTTCAAAAAGTTTTATTCAAAAAAGAGCTTTAATTAAGCACAGCTATGTGCATTCTGGTGTAAAGCCATATTCTTGTAGCATTTGTAATAAAGGTTTTTCACTTAAAAGTTCTTTAACTAATCACAATATTCTTCATACTGGTGAAAAACCTTATACCTGTAACATATGTGGTAAAAGTTTTTCAAGAAAATCTTTGTTGATTGAGCATTCTGTTTTGCATTCTAGTGAAAATCCTAATCGATGTAGCATTTGTAATAAAAGTTTTTCTTCTAAATACAGATTAAACTCTCACTATATAATTCATACAGGTGAAAAACCTTACTCATGTTACAAATGCAATAAGAGTTTTAATGATAGATCTACTTTGAATCGTCACAGTATTATACATACTGGTGAAAAGCCTTATTCTTGTGACATTTGTGGTAAGAGATTTGCGCAAAAATCTTCTTTGAATATTCACTCTTTTATTCACGTTGGTATTAAACAGTTTTCTTGTCCCCTATGTAGTAAGAGTTTTCTAAGAAAAAATGACCTAACTCTCCATGCTAGAGTTCATACTGGTAAAAAGCGTTTCTGTTGTAATGTATGTAATAAGGGTTTTTCTAAAAGACAATATTTAACCAATCATATTCTTATTCATGCTAGTGAAAATTCCAAATCAGACATGATAAATAATCCTTGAAATTGATATCCATCTCCACAGTTTTTAAATTACAGAAAGGACTTGTATTCAAACTGTATTCATTGTACTAGTATTCAAACTGGTGATAAAAGTTTATTCTCTCAGTGTCCCACCCCCCAACTCCCCACTAAAATGTTATCACTGTCTTGTGCTGATATTATACCCAAGAAAGTTTAATTATTACTACCCAAGACCAGTTAGTCAAGCAAACTTTAATCATTTGATTATAGTTATTGGGATACACCAGTCATGTTTAAAGCATGAAATAGTTGACAAACACAGCTAGAATTATAACATTCATAGAATGATTTTTTACAATCTGGACTTAATTGTATTCTTTAACGCTCTTCCTTTTATTTGCAAAAACTCTTAATTTTCTTTTTTATACAGGTGAAAATCTTACCACAATCTTAGTATAGAAACACGATACTTATTCTGTCAAAAAATGATGTATTATAAATACTATACAACAATGTTCTGCTAAAAGCAGATGTCAGATTATCCCAATTAAAAATATTTGCAGGAGAATAGCTTATGTTGTCCTCATACTGTTCAATATTGTTGCTGCAAATGGTAGCTTATATAAGGCTTTCCTAATAAACAATGTCATCTTTTCACAAACTTTGTCACTATAATTTTTAAGTTATGAAAATAATTTTTCTATTTTCTTCTCCGGAACACAGCAAGACATGAATTTTTATCTCTCCATTTTTCTTTAATAATTGTTCAAATGGTCAATCATTATTTGGAACATTCTGACTGTGACAATAGAAACTTATTTCGTTATGTTATTTTGCTGATTAGGAGTTTTCCCCTAAATGAACAATCTTATTTGTTGTACAAAAAATTACAAATAATATTCAGGAATTGTATATTATTTAAAGATATTGTTAAATAACAAATGTTATTGAGGAAATTGATAATGTTAAATCTTTTTACTTAGTAAGTTTCTTTATGTGTATATTTGTCAGAGCCAGTTTTAAAAATATGTATGTATATTGTATATTCAGTCAAGGAAAAACATATGTATAGATCTGTAGTTGAGACACTTATAATAAAGTGTTATTTATATATATATTTTAAAAAAGTGTGGTTTTATTGTAATTTTTTGTTAATGTAACCGATTTTTCTTCTATTTATCTTGAGTACACTAGTGATTTAATTTTTAAATCAACTAAGTATTATAAAAAGTATTAGTAAGTATAAACTAAGTATTATTTTTCAATGATACACTATCTATGAAAGTGTGTACTTAATCTTTCTGATGAACTTAACAGGAAAGTTAATGCTAAAGCATAGTGAAAACATAAATTCAAATTCTTATCTATATTTTACTTTCAATTATATAAGGGTTGCAATTGATTTAGTGAACAAATACATACTTATTTATTAAGTAACTACAACACAAAAATTTACATAATTTCTAACCTGTATCACATAGAGAGAAAGATCGAATTACACCTCTACTGAAAACAACTGCAATTTTTGAAAACATTTATTCAAAAAAAGAATAGTGATACACGAATACTTGAACACATTATTATCTGAATCGTACTCAAACCCAATGACATAAATAGTCATTTTAAATCAAAACGCAACAGGAAAAAAAAAGTCTAAAATATTTAAATTTAAGAATTTGCAGTGCGATCTTTTTGAAAAATTTTGAGCTAAAACCTGGAGTTTTGGGGTAAAATTATGTACTTTCACATTTGCAGCTAAAATAGTTTTTTAAATCTTAACTATTTTCCAGTTATAAATTTTAAAAAACCACCAGTTTAATTTTTTATGAATAAGGGTTGGCTTTTTCACAAACTGATTCACTTTTTAAATAGTTAGAACATTAGTATAACGAGGTGGAAAGCTTTCAGTTGTAGTGGTGGTAGCTGCATCCAGTAATATGATGCCTTATGTTTGATTTGGTTAAATACATACTAGAGCTGTACTAAAAATTAAATAAAAAATTTTAATGCATCTAATTTCCCCATGTGTATAGATATAACTTTATTTTATTATAGATATTTTTTATTTTGGGGCTATAAAATTTCCAAAACTGCTACTTTTGGAGCTGCTATTCGCTATTTTATAATCTCTAGTTCAGACACACACAATAATGACACTTGGCTTATTTCCAAATTAGTGTGTGGATGGGGATTAGGTTATAAACTAGTTTTTATCTTAATTTTGAAACTAATTAAAATTATTTAAGTTTAGAAGTTGAAGGAAACTCATAAGTGCATTAAACATAGTGTTCCAAGTAAGCATTGTGGAAAATGTATTGTATATTTTTGGCATTTAAAAAGCAAAAAATACTATGGAAAGTGAAACCATCGTAATACACTTACATAAAGCTTCACTATATAGCTATAGGTGTTAGATATTGACATTATTAGTGAATTGAAGAGGAGAGGAGATAAGAGTTTTGACATAGAACGATTGTTCTTTCTAAGTTGCGATGAGGTATTTGAACATTATAATCATGAATTTATATTTCATGTAACAAGAATCGTTCAGTAAATTAAACAAAAAGCGTAATAGTTTTGGTATTACTTTTCAATACCGCCTTAAAAATGGAAAATATCACTTAAAGCAAATACAAGCAATATTTTAAGAAATGAATAATATTATTCTATAGAGGTGTGCAGCGAAAATGTTCTTGGAAAACAAGAATATATTATCCTAAGGCTGAAATTTAGAGAATAATCAAAAATATTACTTTTCCTTATACATAAAATTTTTTTTTAAAAATCATGCTTGTACTTTAAATTATTGAATTAAGGCTATTTTATCTTGTATTCGCAAATGTAATAATTTTTTTTCAATTTGATCATATTTATTAATTTGATTACATTTAGGCTTATTCATAAATAAATTAGGACAGTAATTCATGTACTATAAATATTTTAATAGCAATTGACAAAAAATGTTTCTCTTTCATTTTAAATATTGCAAAGCATATTTAATCTGAACAAAATCTAAAAGAAATATATATTAGTATTTTTAAATAATTTGATCAAAATTAATGCAGTGAAACCTCTTGGGAGCGACCACTCTCAGTTCTACCTTAAAATGGTCATTAATGGAGGTTGGTTTTTCTTAGGGGTTACCTTTATTGACTAATTTTAATCAGTGTCGTTTTCTTGGTGCGGAAATGCCACTTGTGTTGGCATCATGAAAAACGAAGCAATGAATAAAATTTAGCGTCAATAAAAATCACCCCTACTGATATAATTATTTGTAAAAACAAATTTCCCAATTATGAATGAGAAAACTATTTTAAATAAATAAACAATTATGTTTTTTGTTTTAAATCTGCATTTAAACTTATATCATAAAAATTAGTTAACTTTAAAAAATGAGTGGTTTGTTTGTTTGAGATGCTTATTTTTTTTCTAAAATAGCTTTTTTTTTCTGACTGCAACGTGAGGTTGTCAATCTCTTTAAGAGATAGACTAGAAGAGCTCTCTAAATAAGAGCCCCACACAAATATTTTGAACACATTTTAATCTTATTTGTTTTGTTAAAATGTTTTGTGTATCCTTATTTGACCTTTTCTACACTTGGTGCATAAGTTTGTCCGGTCCCTTGGAGAAGCTTGGATGGTCTCTTCGAAAGATTTTCTTCAACACAAAGTCTATGTAAAAATTTCATGCCTCTCAAAAGTGGCCGTAAATAGAAGAGATCTCTACAAAGAGGTATTCTTTCCTTGAGGTTTCTCTGTAGTTTATATTTACACTTATTCTTTGTGAATTAGATAATCTTCCAGAGAAATTTTACATCTCAATTAATTCATTAGTAGCAATATTATCAGTTTCAAAAGAGTCATGTTCTTAGAACCATTCACAAAATTTGAATTTAATATGAGGGCAAGATCCACTTCTGAAGAACCAACTCTTATGCTCTTAATGTGGTAGACAAATGTTATGTGACAAAAAATCACAATCCTCCAAAAAGCGTGGTAAGTTGCAATTGCTCTGTTAAAAAACATTTCAGATATGATCCATTAGATTCTTACCTGGAAATCTAGCTGGCCACTTCATCCTCTGAATATCATTAGTTTCCAGGTATTTCTCACTTGCCCAGTGTGGGATTCTTGTTTTTGTCCATAAAAATGAAACCAACTGCACCTCTGAACAAGATTTCAGCCCTTTGCCTTATAGAAGTCAAGGTGCCTTCGTGAAAGATGTGCAAATCTGTGGGAGTGACATCTCAACAGACATCATAACACCTTGATCTCTATAGTGGCCCTTTTCCAATATGTATTTGATGGTATCAGGTGTTTGGTTCTCTCCATAAATCAACAGAATCAATACGTACTTGAATCTCACCAGTGAAAAGAACCTGGTCCAGACCAACTGAGTCTTTGTCCAATGTTCATATTACCTGAAACAGTACAGACAAACTCTCTTTTTATCTCGAATGCCATGAAGGCACCCAAGTTTAAAATGTTAAGAGTTCTAAGTAAAATTTTCCAGACATAAAGTCGATTCCCAGTTCATTTTTAATATGCATCCACACAAGACTCGGCTGGTCTGAGAATATATCTCAAGGCCAAAGAATTTCAGAGAATAAACTGGCTTGCCAGATCCCCAGACATGATGCACATTGGAGCTACTCTAGCAGAGTAATTGTATTTCTTACTCCTTTCCCTCATGGCAAAAATAACAGACTTAATGGACGAATTTATTTGTTTCAAACATTTGTCAACTTTCAAAACAGCAGAGTGTAATGAGTATTGTATTGCTGTAAGTTTATTACCTTATAATCCTCCAAAAATATTATTTTGCTGCATTATATTTTGGAAATTAAATTTTGAGGAGTTAGAATTATTACTTTTTGTTAATGTTTTAGGCACACTTCAATAAATTTTCATGTGAATTTCACTGGATTCGAATCACAATTTCTGGTCTGGAGTTAACCCAAAAAAATGTGTTTATTTATCAACTTTTTGACTTGAGTGTATGCAAGAATGAATATAGGATTCTGCAGCAAGTATGTAAGTATGGTTTTTGTAGTTTTTATGATATAAAGTGATTTCTAGCCAAAAAATGCTTAGGAAAGGTCTCAAAAATGTTAATACAGTATACAATAAATCCTATAAAACAATTTCATGCAAATATTTTGTGGAAAAATTTGTTTACTTAGTTTAAATTTTTTCTAATTATCAAATTAAATTTTAAAGATATGGTGCCATTTTTTTAAAACATTCTGGGTTAAATTAGTATTAAACAATATATTTTAAAACTCCAGTGCCATCTTTATGTCCCACTCAGATAAGAGGAATAAAAAATCTCAGAGAGAGATTATGAAACTAATCCTGACTTAGGTGTCTGATTAAATATGCCCATTTGGTGGGAATCATACCAATGAATTTTCATAACAAGATTTGTTGACTTAGAATAAATTTAAATTTGTACAAGGGGAAAGAAGGCCTTAAAAAAGAAAACTTTTAAAACGACTAAAATTGTTGAATTCAATATGCATCTTATTAATTTACTTGATATCTTATTAATTTAATTTATAGAGTCATGATAAAAAAGGAAAATATTTTTTATTGTTTTAATGCTTGGCATTTAAAACTTTTTTCCTTCTTCAAATAAGTTGAATATCACTTCTCACTGGAAAAATATTTGCTACTTGTTATTTTTGAGGCATGGTATTTTCATTCAATAACTTAATTTGAGCATTGAAATATGATAGCATTTTTTTTCTATTTGAAAATTGCACTAGAAATGAAACTTTTATTAAAGAATTAAAATTTCCATTAAAGTAGAATTATTAATTTTGTATTAAAAAACTATATCTAAAATTTTATGTTCTCAACAAAATATTTAAAATGTTAAAGAAAAATTGAAGTAAAATGTATTTGATAAAATAATCACACAATATCCATTGAATTTTTGACTAAAATTTGCAATAAAAAACACATTTTACTTGTTTTAGATGTTTCAAAATTATAAAATGTATGTTACACTAATGTATAATTAGAGATATTAGAAAAAAATAAAATTTTACAGAAGTTACCATAAACATTATTTATTGTAAAACAGTGCAGGATATTATTAAAATATAAGTACAAAAATATTAAACAAATTACAAACAAATAAAGACATTTAAAATTAATTTTACAAAAAAAATACATTTTTTTAATGACTTAAAATTTAAATATGACATGCATGTTAGTAGTTCTGTAACAATAATCCATAAAATTTGTACAAGTTTGAATCCAGTTGAATAAGCAAAGAACTCATATAACTGCGACCAATGATACAAATATCAGTAGAAAAAAAGTTAAGAAGATAAATCACAGTCAATTGTATTTTTAATTAAGAAAACTCAGACTGATATGCGATTCCAAGAAATAACACAGTATTGAAACACAATCTGAAAATATTAAGTTTGTGAATGCCACATTTTACAAACAAACAACAAAAAACATTTTACAGGAAAAAAAATTTAACAAGATTTAAAAATTACTAAGTTTTCTGTTAGATACCTGATTAGGTATGTAATCAGATAGAAATTAACTCGAATAGAATTGACAGAGAGAATTCAATGTTGATATATTGAAATATTTCTTTATATTTCCATTGTTACTTTATATAATTAGCTTGGTCACTATGAGTTGATCAATTTTTTAATAAACTGTTGCTTTAAATGATACCTTACCATATTTATACTTTCATATTCAACTGCGCATCCTATTTAATATAAGGAAACTGAACTTTGTGAGCCTATATAATTGCTATTTAAATTTATTTTAATGAAACAAAGAAAAGATACTAATGGTAAAAATATTATAGGATTGAAACTTGAATATATAATGTTATTTTTTTTCATTAATCTTAAAGAGATGATAAAGATGACGAAACTATTAGTACTTTTTGTAAATGCAATTAAAAATCAAAAATGCAAAGAGCAATATCTACAATTGGTTTCTTGTTTGAACTTAAGCAAAAGATCAGATTTATAAGAATTTTCGCATTATATAAATTTAAGTAGCTTCTAACACAGGGACTTAAATTTAAAAGAAAAATGCAGAACAGCTCCAAAGTAATAATTTTAAGAAAAACTTCAAATAAGTAGTAGTAGCTTCAAATAAGTAGTAGTTATCCTGTGGGGATTCAAATGCATTCTCCATTGATATTATATAGACCATTTTGATATAATGCTCTTCTCCTTAAGCTTTATTTATCTGAAAGTGCAGTACTGAATTTCTTTGAAGGCAGTCTCAAATAGCTAAAACATGTGATTGCAAAACTAAACTTGTGATTGGATTTGCACCAACAAAAACTGCATTGCTTAAATTATATATTCTGAGAGGACAATCAGAAATTGTTAACTGACATATCCTAAATTGCTAAAGTCAAAAGAACAAATTTCCATCTCCATGTTTTTGAACTTTAGTGGATACAGTTATGATCTTTTACTAAGTATGTGTGGTATTAGCTAATGGTTAGAACATGCATATGAAAATTATGTTGTTTTTTTCTGTTTAATTTGCCTTTGTTCATTTTTTTAACAAATTTAGTTTCCACTTAAGTTTACTTCGTAATTTAAAGATCTTTCTTTTTGGATTAGATTTAGTTAGAATTTTAAGTCTTTGCACATGTGACATGTAAAGCTCTCCCCTTTCTGATGTTCTATTATGATGCAATCCTTTGTACTTGTACAACAGCCTGAATAAGACTAGTACATACTTTTAAGTGACTCAGTACATACTTTTTTTTTGAAAATCCCTTATTGCATAAACTACAATAATGAGGTTTTTCGCCAGTATGAACAAGACTGTGCTTAGTTAAACTATTCTTAACAGTAAAACTTTTATTACATACTTCACAAGAATAAGGTTTTTCTCCAGAATGAATATAAGAATGACGAGTTAAAATACATTTTTTTGAAAAACTCTTATTGCATATGTTACAAGAATACAACTTTTCACCAGTATGAACAACTATGTGACGTGTCAAATTACTTTTATAAGTAAAACTCTTATTACAAATACTACATGAATATGGTTTTTCACCAGTGTGAACAATATAGTGAGAATTTAAACTAGATGTTGATGAAAAACTCTTATTACATATATCACAAGAATAGGGTTTACTATTATTAGAATGAAGAAGACTGTGCTTAACTAGACTGTCCTTTCGTATAAAACTTTTATCACATATATCACAAACAAAAGGTTTCTCACCAGTATGAAGAGCAATATGGTTTGTTAAAGATAGTTTAGTTCTAAAATTTTTATTACAAATACTACAAGCAAAAGGCCTTTTATCAGTATGAAAGAAAGTGTGACGATTTAAATGAGCCTTTTGAGCAAAGCGCTTATTACATATGTTGCAAACATAAGGTTTCTCATCACTATGAATAAATCTGTGTTTATATAGACCACTCTTCTGGTAAAAACTTTTATTACACACACTACAAGAATAAGGTTTTATACCAGTATGAATAATACTATGATTAAATAAAGTATTCTTGCGTGAAAAACTTTTGTTACATACATGGCAAGAGAAATACTTTTTATCACTATGAACAATACTGCAATCAACTAAGGAACATTCGTTTTCTAATTTTTTATCACACATGATTCAAGGAATCATTTATTTATTTCAAAAAAGAATTGAGAATAAATTTAAAATAATGATATTCAAAAATTAGAAGATGCGTGTTTTTGTCAAAACCCTTCTATTACAAAAAGGATAATCTTAATATTAACATTTTTAAACTTTTTTTCTTGTTTCAGTTCACACTAGTTTGCATATGAGTTTTAATTACTTACTAAGTGCAATAGTTTATATAAACAAAAATAGCAAATCAAAGTTAAACTTATATTTCATTGCTTAACATTTTTCAACACAAATAAAAAATTGATTCTTACATTTTTCAGAAATAACAATTTGAACATAAAAGAAAAGTAAGTCTTTTTACTATTCAGTGCTTTCAAATTCAAGTTACTAACTGCAAGTAATTGAGCAACATTATAGGTTAATTTATAGAGTCATAATCAGCTTGGTTTTATCCTCTCAAAGTACTTGAGCAGAGCAGTATTACTCTTGATTTTTATCTAAAAAAGATTAAAAATTAATTAATATAATCAAAGTTATTTAGTTTGCAATATTATAAGAGATGAGAGCATTTGATTAATTAATATAAATAAACACTCCCAGTATGTGTTAAAACACACTGAGCTAAAAATCTTAATGTAATTTTTAAAATTCAGTTTATTTGAAATAGAAAAAGATTACTTTGACTGGACGACTTTTCAAACGTGTAACTAAAAAAAATTTGCAAAATCAATTGCAAGCAAAGGTAAATTCTGATAATATTGTATTTAAAAAAAGTTTTAAAAATTCTGTGATTTTTTTTTTTTTTTTTTTTTTTTTTTTTTTTTNTTTTTTTTTTTTTTTGCAAAAAAAAACATACGTTACCTTATTTATGCAAAAAATAATACACCAAACTTTTACTTTGTTCCTAGTTTGCGTTTTAAACAGTTCATGATAATTATAAAATTTTCAAAATTCCATTTCGAAAGCGCTGTAACGATACCTGCACATGATATCCTATAAATGCAACAATATATTTACAATAAACTGTAAGACTATGAAAATCATTTAAAAATATTAATTATGAAAAAATAATGATTAAAAATATTTTAATTTGCAATTCTTTTATAAAAAAAATTTTTAATCAAGTGATTTTATTAATAAAAAATCAGAAGTTACATAACAAAAGGAAACCAACTCTTAGTTTTCCCCTGGCAAACCACAATACACTTTCTCAAGTTAAAATCTTTTGATGCCTTCACAAAGGTAATTGGTGCAAACAATAATATATGTGGCCTGAGGAGAAACAGGAAACACCAGTACCAATAAGAAAATATCTTCAATTTATGATGGAATCAATGCACCTAAAAGTGATTAGCTACTCAAATGCATGGTTCCTAGATTGCATGTGCTAATAACATCCTATTTAAAATATCAGGATCTGTTATAATGAATGTCAAACATGTAATTGACGAGAATAAGTAAATTTAAAACTTAATAGAGGGCACAAGTAATGATTATTTCATAGTGTGATACGAAAATCTTGTAGTAATATAACATTAAAATCTCAAGACTATAAAAAACATGAGCGCATCTGTAGAACAAATGTCACATAACCATTATTATGGGAGGATTATCACATTTTTAAAAAAAAATTAATTTAGAGCGTTGATTCAAAACTTGGACATTTCATACGATCACAGCGATGGCTCGGAGGATAAAGCGTTCGCCTTCCAATGAGGCGAACAGGGTTTGAATCCCAGTCAATATGAATTCCTTATCCGGCTTGCACCAACCACAGTGCTGACATGAAATATCTTCAGTGGTAGATGGATTATGTGTTCGAGTCCCCTTGCCATCAGGCTAAACGTGGGAGGTTCTTGTGGTCTTCCTCTCCATGTAACGCCAATGCGGGTTAGCTCTATAAAAATGCCCTCCACGAAGACAAATTTCTCCCAATACTCGATCCAGGACTTCCCTTGTCTTCTGGATTGAGTTCAAAATTACAAGGCTACGGAGTTGAACATTAGTAGTCGTAATCCCATAAAATTGGGTCGGCTGTTCAACGACGGTTATAAAATAAAAACTTCGACATCTATTGGTTTTAGGGAGATATTCGTGCAGTCTAGATTTTAGAGGTCCTACACTACATCAAAAATAATTATTTATGTACAATTATTTAAAATTAATAATTTTGTTATAAGTACTACAAACTTAACCTTGGTAAAAATTATACTAGATATATTTATCACTATTAATTGCATTATTGCTAACTCTATTTACTAGTATGCTAACTGGACTTACTAATAACTCCTCAATCGTAGTAATTTATTTTTAAGAGCTATGTTGCATATCCATAGAGTCTAATAAACCCGTACGACTTCTCTTTCTTTATTTCAATTGATTTCGCTCGTTGATTATAATCTAATAAAGAACAAACGTTTAAAATAAAACTGAAAAATTTATTACTTTTATTGTTTATATTTTATAATTTCAGCCCTTGCAGCTGCTCACATCTGCGTACTTGAAGTATAAACTTCTCATGATTAACCACTTTAACGGTCATTCTCGCTGCGTGAAATCTACGCACTTCAGATAACCGTCAAAGGAGAATGATACGGAAATTCTTCCCGAGCGAATCGCAGAATAATCTTGGCGGCTGGCGAGAAACTAAAAGAAAAAACAATCACAGAAGGAATCCAATTCGAAGGCTTGTGGCTTAACTACCACTATAAATATTCAATTCACTAGTGTATAAGACACGTTAACTTGATTCTATCTCGAGGTACCTTTTGATAGATGAAAGTTGACATGGTCGATGGTGACCCGCCATTAGGGCGTTTCTAAATATAAACCATGTCGAGGTACGTTTTGATAGATGATATCATCTATCAAAACGTACCTCGAGATAGAATCAAGTAAACATGGCTTATATCGGAATAGGTTTTCAATATTCATAGTGGTAGTTAAGCCACAGCTTCCCCCAAGTAAACTTCTAGATTTTTTTTTTCCAAAAAGATGTCCAATGTGCACCCATGTCCGAGAGATATTAAGTTCAATCCCCACAAGCCAAAAAACTCCTAGTGTACAAAGTGGTGACAGGTGCACGCTAAATCTGTCGTGTCATAAGGTTCTCCAAGTTCCCATAACAAATCAATACCTCTGGGAGTACTGATCGGAGATTGAACATGTTCTGGTTCAGATCAAAATTTCGATCTGCGGATGGATGGATGGTGTGTAGTAATGCGTCCTCCCTGTAAAATGGACTGTGACGTATGTATGTTGTTTCCAGATCATACTTAGGGATGCTTCCGAGACCATCGCCAATAGCAAATTGTGCAGTTCTATTGCGACACAAATAAAAGTATCGCACTGCACCATACCGTGAATAAAAATTATGAGGAAAAGTGCCAAAGAAGATACGTCAGAATTTTTGGAAGAAAGCGAGCAGGTTAATAAAACGAAAATATATGGTATTTAAACTCTTTATTTAGTTATTTTTTCTTCCATATATGGTAAACTGTTACCATATGGTAACAGTTTGCCAGAAATTCTAGTTTTCAAAATGTTAGTCTTTATTTCCATGCAGTTAGTAAAAAATTTTAATGTTTTAACGTCTTGAAAGTTATGAAACGCTTTATTTATGCTAACTTCATTGCAAATTTACTGATAATAATTATTATTACTAATTTTATCCTCTTTCGGCAGCGTGGTTTTTTTAACAACACATTTCAGCATAGTTCTTAAAATTTCGATATTTTTAGAACTATATTGTTACGAATCACGAGTAACGAATCGCTCATTAGGATAACCATTTTTGACGTGGTTTATCTGAGCTGATTTTATCGCAAATCAAATTATTTTTCAATCGTTATTTTGACTTTTGTGTCCCGAGATTTTTTTATACGCTATTACGACACTTTAATTACTAATCCCACATTTAATCACATCACTTTTTGACGCTCTTTAATTATGGCGATTTCATTATAAATATAAAGGGATTTTGATAGTAATTACTATACGCTTTTCCCATAACTTAAATAATCCTGATATTTTTAATACTGTAGTTTCACAGCACTAGAGTTTTATATCGCGCATTTAAAATAATCACTTAAGATTTTAACATAATTATAAGAAGTTTTTGGAACGTTTATTTATTTTTTTTGGACCTTTATTGCTGCATTTTTACTTGTGATTTTGAATATCCCGGTATTTCAACACAATATTATAACTAGTGAAATTCGATTCTGTTTTAAATTTTTTTGTGACTTAAGTTATTATGTATCTTAGCAAAATCGACAACTTCCCAGAGAGAATAAAAAAAACGAGATGTGTAAACTTATATAAAACGCGGTTTCCTCTAGTAGAAAAATAAACGTGTGCCTATTTTAGTCCCATGAACGCGTGCAAGTTTAACAACACATACCCAGAGCCGGATTATACCTTTCGTAGGCCCTAGGCATGGCCGTTTTTGGGCCCTCCCCTCCTTCCCCCACTCCTCCCCTCTTTTCAAAATATATGCTGAAATTTTCTTGCATCTTTTTTTTTTTACACTTTTATTAATATGGATTTTAATTTACAAATTTGTTTATCGAACTTTATCTGCAATACCGACAAGTGTAATGCATAAAGTTAGAGAAAAAAGAAAAGTACTCCTAACTTTAAAGAGAAAAAAAAAATAGTAGAAATATAACATTTAAAAGAATAAAAAATTTACAAGTTTAGACAAGAAAAACAAGTTTAAAAAATACAAAATTCTCATATTTATTTTTTAAAAATAATTACAATTCCTAAATTAACTTATATAAACAAAACCAATGATTAAATAACGCAATATATTTCATACCTAATTAAACGGGGGGGAAACAATAAAATAAAAGGAAAACTTATTAATCTAAATCAAAACACTTGAAAATTATCGAACCGAAACGATAGTTAAAAAAGGCACTAGCATAAATATTAAAACCCGGAACAAGGCAAGATCAACGGAATTTTAAAAAAAAAAAAAAACTAATGATAAAATTTATGAATAAAAAGAATTTATTGAGTGCGAAATTTATCGTGAAAAGAAAAAAAAATCAAACGCAGTGGAATCAGAAAAACAAAACTGTTTTTCTGATTCCACTACGTTTGATTTTTTTTTTAAATTTTTTTCTCCCAAGTTTTTCGTAGGCCCCTGAATTTCGTAGGCCCTAGGCATGTGCCTAGTGTGCCTATAGGTTAATCCGGCCCTGCACATACCCATCCTATTCTTTTTCGTTGTCACATGATTTAAAAATCATATATGGCGATTCATAATCACCCATTTCAAAAATTATACGTTTTGAAT